CCCGCCGCCCGCGCTGCCCCAGGCCCTGTTGTTTTGAAATGAGCGCCCACCCGTTTCTGGTTCTCTAGCTGCGCAAGGCTCCTCTCTGCAGAAATGTTACAGGTCTGGAAGCACTACAGGGGGAGGAAGAGGAAAGCTGCTGCACATGCTGGTCACCAGGATCACAACTTTGCTGAAAGAGTTACTGTCTTTCGTTATCTCCATGCCTGTCAAAGCTTCAAGACATCAGTGCTATTTGGTTTATTAAAATTTTATGTGCCTTTTTATCCTTTAACTTCTTAGAACCTACATTCCGTTGCATATCATACAAGCTCCTCTGGATCAGCCAGTGTCCACAGGTGTTCAAGCTTAACAGGATAGACAGGTGCTTACCCTCACCTTCTCTTCACTGCATCAGTTTGTATCTCTACATGCTTCAGAAGAGCAGCCCCTTCCTAGACCTCTGCCACTAGCTACAGCTATGGACACCTAGACAATTTATTCTCTCTTTCTAGCAATGTAGACTCTGACCTATAAAAATTTACATAAGGCATCTGACCCTCTTTTGAATTCCCTTTAGGAAAATCTCATATAGTTAAAGGAATCATCCATTCTTGGTACAGTGAACAGTATTCTAGGAAAACAGTTCATTTCAAAGAGTGGTGAGTGTCATTTTTTTCTGCAACATCTACATCTTGTTTACATCTTTTCAAACTCCTTGGAAGAAGCATGAGTAGTTGCCTTTAAAAGTAATTTCCCTTTAATAAAAGTTCTGGGTAACTTCACATATGAAACAATGAGCCACATAATTTTAGTGGGTTGTTCCTGGAGATAACAAAGCACTAGAGCAACAGTTAACACAACAGCAAATATGAAGTTTTACAAAGGAAATTGCTGAGTGCCTGCTGAGTGCAGCTTTAGAGCTGCACATCTCAAGAGAGCATTTATTTGTGCAGCATGAAGATTATATAATGCTCAATTCCATCTGTCTTGAGTGAAGACTTAGAGTGTCTGCCTCCAGAAACAGGACAAAGACCCTCAATTCTGTGCAACAGAGTGTTTGAACTAGGCATACAAACCAGGTAATTATCAAATATCAGTAATTTGGTATTGTTGAGATGATATATACCAGGAACAAGAGACAAAAGTTCATAACTCCAAAAATGTAATTCTCCAACTTCCCATATCCCCTTACATAATAGAAACTAAATAGATGCATCTTTGCATCAACATGTTGTGCAAGATACTCCAGCTATAAAGCTCTGCCTTCACTCTTCAGGACTCTTGGGTTTTGCCAAACTTGCAACCCTTTTCAAGAGTTGAGACACAAAGCAGCAGCTTTACACATTGCTTTTTAAAAAGTATTTTTCAATTCTTTTTAGTTGTGTCTCATTTTCTTGTTTGGCTAATTATAACAATGTTCTTAAACATTAAGCCACCAAAGCTTTGTGCAGAAAACACAAGTATTTACTTTAAAATTATTATGAAAATTATGGACACCTAGACATTCTCTCATACATTCTCTCTTTCTAGCAATGTAGACTCTTTCTAGCAAGACCTCAGCATACACAGAGTACATTTTAAGAAAACCAAAAGAACAACTCACAAGAAAAAACAATACATGCAAGTCCCCAAAACTGGACTAGCCAGCTCTTTATTTTTTTATAGAATATTTTATGAAAAAAATGAGATATTTAGTCCACCTGTAGATCTAATAATGCCATGATTACATTTCTGCTATTTCCTGTTTTTCTTCAAGACACAAACCACAACAGCTATAAAGTTTGTTCCCCCCCAAAAAGTGTCATCTGCTTTAAGCATCTGCATAAGCTATTAGCTTATCATTACAGTTTCCAGAGACTGTCCAGCCTTCACTTGCTTTCATTAAAGTCAGTGCAAGACTCATTGACTGACAGGAGTTGAGCTCTCAGAGAATAAGGCAAGGATGCTAACTTTCATGCAATTTGGTGGGGTAATGGGGTATCAATGGAATGCACCTTTACTCAGGTATGACTACATGTAGATAACAGCCACAAAAAACAGATGTTTCACAACAGATCCGGAAAAAATATGCACATGTAAAATGATGCAGATTCTTGCATGCTATGGAAAGTAATATGAATGAAGCTTAACTGACATGGTTGATTTTTTCTGAAAGCAATACAACTGTGTCATCTGAATTTGTTAATTAACATGTTCTAAGAACAGCATTATCCATAAATAATCAGTATTACAAAATTGAATGAAATCTACTATAAATACCTTATTAAAATATAATTACAGAATATATTTACTTGTGCATACAAATTTTCTCTGGTTTTATATGGACTAAGCTTCAGAATTCTGTAAACTGTGAGGCATTCATCGTGCTTAACATGGCGGAATATTTTGTTCAGTTTCTTCATTATTTTATTTTGTTTAGTCCTCTTCCCATCAAACATGCAAACACTGTCATCACCATTTTTGGCTTCACTTCAACCAGATCATCTGGGAGAGCATATATACGAGCACCAATTTTTCGGGCAACGGAAATTGCATACCTTAGAAAATCACAGGAATAAAATAGTTACTTTATTTGCATCTGCAAAGGTGCTCAAATTAACAACAACAGATTTTAATAACAGGACACCTATTCAGTCATTACTTACATGCTAGGACATTACAATTTTCACCTTATTGTGGAAAAAGGTTCACCATGTTAACAATTGTACTGGCAAATATTTTGTTAGTAGTTATGAAAGGATTTATTTTTCTCAAAACAGAAGAGGTTATGGCAGGCTATTGATAAATGACAGTGGAGTGGACAAAAATAGCTATAGATCATTATTTCCTAAAATTTAACTTATTTTATTTGAAACAAATCAGCTTACATTAAGGTAAATTCTCAGAGTTAATAAATAATTAAGCTGTATTCACAACATCATGAATTCACGCATATCCTGCCCTTATGGAAAATAAAACATTCCTTTGAAACTTACTTAGCGTTATTCAATTTGTCTTCATCTGAAAGGTCTTCTCTTTTGACCATTTCTGGGCGAACTGCTTTTGGTGCAATGGCATCTATTAAATCTAGAACAGGTAAACTAGTGCTAATTGATTTATCCTGAAAGAAAAGACAAAAAAAATAAGGAATTTGTTTTCACTACTCTGTCTTCATAATTCGAAAAACCTTACAGCACATCTTATGTATGTACTGAAAGAAAGCAGTGTATTTTGTTGCTTTATTGCCTCATAAAAGGAGGCCTAATGTTTTCAGCATGTGGAATCTGTTAAAGGTTCTCTCAGTCTTGATATTATTATGCAGACATAAACAGCATAAATTGGTTTTGTGAAAGCAGAACCCCACCTCTACCCAAAGGAGGAAGGGGGAAAAAAAAAAAAAAAAGAGGCAACAAAATCCACACCTCTGAAAGAAATCCAAGAACCAGAATTGTCAAGATAATAAAAAGCTGTCTGCATTCACTGACTCCTCCTTTTCTCTTATTGGAACTATTTCCAGCAGGTAGCCTATGGACCTCTGTTCTTATAGCCTTTGGGACTCGGATGGTCTTCCAAGCTTGTATTAGGATCCTAGCTGTGTGTGTGTGTGTCTTTAATATACTGAAAAATGTTTTTTTCTGTTCTTAAAGTAGCAGGTGCTACTGCCACAATTATTTTTCCCCCAACCATTATGGCTGACAAGCAGCCTAAGCAGAAGAGAGTGCGCAAGCAGCAATCAGCAGAGACGGCCAGCACGACTGGCTGCATTTCTTCCAAGGCTTAGCACCAAAGCCCCGTGAGGTGTTTGCCTTCACCAGGTTAGAGCTAAGATTGCAAATTCACTGCAGTCCCATAGGGCCTCCCCACTACTTATAAAATGTATATACTAATTATACATTTTAAGTATATGTACATAATATATACATTTATTTGGAGAAATTAAAAGCATGGGATGTCTCCCCAAGACCATAAATCAAAACACTACTTTTTATCATTTGTGCTATTGGCAATACTTTGCCTGCTGCACAATGTAATGCAAAAATATAGACAAAAATTCAAATAGCGAATTACAATAAATCTATCTTTTTTTTTTTATTACTGATTTTTGACATGCTGAACTGTGCCTCTTTAAATCAATAGTTCCTTATTTTTATGGTCTACCATCACGTGATTTATCTTAAAACTACTGCCCCTCCACCATCCTCCCAAAACAGACATACAAAAAGAACACACACACAAGATTCTAGTAATTTCAACTTATTTATACCAGCATTATTGCAATTGATGTGGAAATGAGAAGTAATCCCACCGAAGAAAGTAAGATCAAGACCTGCCTAAAACCTCTCCTGCAGTAAAAATAAAATATTTTGTTATATCAAATTATTTGATATTACCTTATGCCTAAAGCTTACCTAATTCAATTTTGTTACATGAGATCTCTATTATTTTACCTGCTAAGCCCTTATCTTCCTGTTGTGAATGACATCAGCATAACTGCTTCAGTGGGTATAATGAACCTGTATTGAAAGGCTACATTTGTGTGCAATTATCAATGCTCCATTTCTAAAGAAAAGGATTCACACAGTATGACATACCCGACATAAGTGACAGTTCATGCTTAACACTTTAAAAATGTGAAATGACTTCCGGTATCAATTTTCTTATGTTTACTGAATGAGAAGGTTCCTGCAGTTTCCTGAAGTATTTGCTGACATTGATCTGTTCTGGGGCACATCAGCCACACTCCTGTCGCAGGGCGGCAGGCTGGCTCACCGGCACTCCCTGTGCTGCCTCTGCCACTGCACACGAGCAAGGATCCCGAACAGCTACTAGTGAAAAATGGGAAAAATATTTTTCTAATTTCCAGAATTTCTTCCATGCCCTCAAATATAAGAGGGCACAAATCCAAATATTTGGAAGGCATTTGATGTGTCATGCCTAATAAGTTTATCAAAAACTCCCCTTGAAAGTTTTTTTTTTTTAATTAATCTTACAGCATCAGTTACAGTTTCCTTTTTGTTATTTCTTATTAATAGAACTGCAGAATACTTTTGAGGATGCAGAATCTCAAAAGTATTTCCCGATCGGATTAGTCCATGTAATGCGATCCAGTGTGAAAGCCAATTGTTAACAAGATCAGATTAAAAATCCCACTTCTGATTGTGTTTGGAAAGAAGGAAAGTAAATTAATTTGATTACCTTGAAACTGGTAATTGAAGTTTTCTTATTTGCATTTGCGAGTGTCTGATTCACCCATTTAATAATAATTTCATCATTTACTTTTTCCCCCTCTCCAAGGTCTGATAATACATTTAAAGTATACCTTTAATAAAGAAAATAAAAACAGAATCCGAATCAAATGAATGACAGAACACTTCTCTGCTAAAGGAAAAAAGAACAAACAAAATAAAATATTACCTCAGAGCAGTAATGGTGTCAAGTACATATCTGCGTAAGATATCTTTACTTTACAAGCTAGTATTACTAGTTTGTAAATTGCCATGTTTATTAAAACACTATTTAAATATCTGCAGCAGTATTACAGCCTATTTGTTAGTAAAGGCGGTATTTGCATAAACAAAATCCAACATTGTGAAATTTGCTTTTGGATTACAGAGGCTTCAAAAGATTTTTCTGTTTTATTTAAATATGTGAATATAAATAGCCAATTTTGACCTTGAATTTATTAGTTTCATCTTCTCCTTAGTACCTCCCATAGCATTAACTATCATTATAAAAAAGTCACTGTATAATCATGCTATCTATATTATAGGCCAGTCTTTCTATTGGAGAGTATGAAATTTTACTCAAATTATGAAACATTTGCATGTGATGAGAGCATGTACATCTCTACTAACATGAATGCACCTGTTTATTTTAGGTGAGCTGAACACTTGTCTTAAGTTGCCTTGAAATACATTTTATATATTTTTATATATGTGCACACACATATATCTTGTATATACTACTCCTAAAAGCACATTACCTTCTCATCAGCTGCCAAACCAAAGCCAAAGTCAGTGTTCGATTACCCTCATTTAGATCATGTCCAGCAATACCAACCAGGGAGAATTTGGCTTTTGTCTTCCCAAGCTCTACTGCATAATTACAGTTCTCAATCTAAAAATAAATGTTTAGCATTTACAAATAATCAATAAAGACCATTAACATCTCTATAAAACAGACCTATAATCTATATATATTCAGAATTAATTTGGTTTAGTATTACCCATAGTAAGATTTGAGGGTAGAAAAAGATTTGAATAGAAAGATAGCCTTTTTTATAGGCTATGATTTATTATTAAATCGTAATGCAGCTTTACTATTCTTACAGATAAAAACTATGCACAAATTCTCCTGGAAGAATATAAAATTGCTCTGGAAGGAAAACATCTGGTGTATGAGCATTCAATGCAATAGCCATGTCAGCTCTGAAATTTTTACTTAGCTCAGTTAGACCCCAGATTAAATATTATGAAAAATTGTCTAGATTTAGAAGCCAAAGTAATATACTGATAAACCAGCTCTTTATTCCTTGATATAATACCCAGAAAGCTCCCTGCTCCACCATTTTTCTTGCCAGAAGTGTCCCAGAACATACAAATCACCCAGTCCAGGAGGAATACTACGAACAGCACCATGGCAGTCAGCAACACTGCACTGTATGACAGGGTATCTACGCACCTTCTTCATATTACCCCCGAGGAAAGGATAAGGAGGTTTGTTTACATGGCTCCAATTGACGGGCACACGAGTCATGTCATATAATTGGAAGATTATTAAAGCATCAGAGAGGTCACTAATCAAAGAAAAATAATGTTTTTAATTACAAAAGATTGAATTCACAATGAGGTTACAGTACCTACATCAGATCTACAACCAGTACATCAGACTACTGCAAGTGTACATAAAGCTATGAAAAAATCCAGTTACATATAAAAAATGTTTTGGTCCTCAAAGAGATTAGCTTATCCTACTTATTAATTCCTGACTTTATGAATCAAATTTTTATTGATCTGTATTTAAATGTCAAGTTGAATCAAATTTTACCTTCAAAATTATTATTTTCACAAATATCATTGAAGGAGGGCATTTTTTTTTCCTGCTTTAATTAAATGATTGCTTACTTAGGATAGGTATAGATAAAAATATCTAGGTAAGCAAAGTTTATTGATCTGTATTTAAATGTCAAGTACTCATGCATACTCTTCACCTGCATCCTTAAAGACTCATCAAAACGCTAAAATTATCTGAAGAGGAGTATTAAGGAAAAGTACTGCTTTCCTATGACAAATTACACTCCAGAGGATCTTCAGCTGCTTGCCAACTAAAATGAGTAGCTAGCTGTAAGCACTCTCCATTTTAGTCTATTTATAGAGAATATGACTTCACAGAGGTGATAGAAGAGTAACAATTAATTATAGGAGCAAGTATACATGAAAGCAGATGTTCACAGTTGCTCTCTATTATTACATCTTTTATTGATGGCATTTAAATTAACTACTAGCACAATTTGAAAGTAATCAGAAACATCTTAGAGCACACTAAGAAGTCTCTCCTTTTCTGGCTTGTTCACAGTGAAATCAATTCATTGAAACTATTTTTATCTATTAATAACATTTAGATTTATATTATAAAAACAACAAAAAAAGCATGCCTTATAAAACACAAATTGCCTTTTTTTTCCAAGCATAATTTTACTTCAAATACAAGTGAATAAAAGAAGCATATAAAACAATTTACGTCTAATATTTCTGTATCCTGAGTGAAATAAATTCTAATATGATTCTACAGATCAGTTCTGAAATTTCTCTTGCAACTACGTGGGACAAAAGTTGGAAATCACTATATTAACAGAAGCAAAATCTCCCTTTCTTAATGCTGTTACTGAACTCTAAGGGATGCTCAGAATATCCACTTTATTACAGCTAAGAGAGATTAAAAAAAAATCATGAAGAGAGACAAAAAATAAAAGCCTTACCTGTATAAGTGGTTAACATATGGGCTTACACCCAGTGAATTCATCCAGTTTCTAAATGTCCTTTCCTCCTTACTTTCTCCTGAACAGAAAAGCATAATTCTATATAAATTACTTGGACACGGAATGTTTAAATGACTCATATATGTACAATGAAGTTAATCTAAATAGTTCTTTCACTACATTTTTTGTCTTAGATTTAAGAGTTAACTTCATCCTTTCCATTACAGTAGTCTTATATAACTAGCATGTATTAAGCATAAACTCTCTAAGGTTTATTTCCCCAGCAGTACATAGCAATACACTACCTGCATACTAAAAAATACACTACCTTTAACATTTTAACAATGGATTTGTGGCAGTTTTGTTGTGAATCAATGCTGCTTACACTATTAGCTCTCAAAGAAAGACATAAAATAATTAGACTGAAAATCTGAGCCTGGAATATCCTCATTGCTTTGTTCTGCTAGGCTGATTATCTAGTGAATAAAAATGGAAAGGATATTGGGAGGAAGCAGTTTCCTCCCCACCCTTTCCCTTAAAGAAGAAGAATGTTTCAATAAGAATTTTCTTGGCTTTTTTGTTTGTTTGTTTATTCATTTGTGGGTACTAAGTTTAAGAGATTTGTGTAGCATGAACTGTACAATATAGTGCTGAAGTTCAAGTTGAACACAGAACATCAAATGTTTTTGTGAAATGAAGCGAATGTTCAAAGGGGCATTTATCATTAGAAAAGAAAGAAAATCTGTTTAATACTACTTTTTCAAGAAATAGAGCTATGTCATAACATGAAGTTTTAGACAAAGATTACAATTCTAATCTAGGTGTCTTCCCCTTTTATACAAAATTCAAATACTTCAAAATACATTTAATCAAAATTGCAATTTAAAATTAGACATTTCTAAGAAAGATTTCATATGTAATTTATTCTGCTGAAAAATATCAATTTTATAAAAAACATTTCAGCCAAGTTAATAATTAGAAAACATATTAATCATTTTTCCTCTTTTTTAGTTATGAAGTATTTTATATGCAATTCAAGTTGCATATAAAACTATGCAACTTGACTACTTGTATACTATTTGTTTCAAAGAATCCCTGAAAATATCATTATATGCTAAGCCAAAAGAAAAACACTATTTTGCAAGGTCATCAGGCAGTCAGTTGTTCTCATTCATTTCTTTCCACAGTAGAATTTAAAAGACAGTGAAGGGTTACACTTTTGGACAAAAATATCAAAATTCTATTTTTCTGTAAAAAAAGATAAAAGATCAAGCAGAAGCATGATACAAAATAAGTGACATATATTAATAGTACCATAAGAGGTTATAATATTTTGAAGTAAGCCCCCTTTTTTGGTGAAGTCTATAAGGTTACTGATTTTGGGGGTTAGTTTGCAAAGTCTGAAAAACCTCCACTTTAAAGCACTTTAGGGACACTAGTATATTGGAAAGACAACAGCTATATTATTCAGTGAAGTCAAACAGATACTCAGTGAGATACTCAGCAACTACACCCAGACTGAGAATTTTAAACTGCATGCTTAATACCACTGAAAGAATCTGAAGTAGACAAGCAGGAGCAAGAACGTGCAAATTGGGAAGTGCACTTCTGGCTAGCAGAAACCCAGAAACTAAAGATAGCATACTATATTTAATATGCCACTTTAAACAAATTCCTTTATCATGCAATACATAAGCATTCCTAAGTTTTCCAGATGGCTGAGAACTGACCCATTTTTTCTCTCCATTCTTTTATTCAAAATATACCTTGTGATCCTATCAGGAGCATATCTTCTGCTGTGCGGTGCAGCAGATAGCCAAAATCATAGGAAAACTGCAGAAAGGGGGAAGAGCTACACAAAAGAAAGAGGAGCAATTTGGTAGTATCCTTCACATAGCCATCCTTCTTCTCTGAGATCATTATACTATGGAATTGAGTGGGTAGTAGCCATAAGGACGAGGTCAGGAATTCAAAGGACTCCAAATACTTAAACTCTTTATGAAAGACAACAGAGCTTAAGATGCAGTTTTGCACCCTAAGTTCAGCTGGCCTAAACCCTCTCATACTAACAGCCTTAAAGGCTGCCAATGGGCTAAGCAAGAGCAGCAGCAGAGGCAGCATATACACTGAATATACTGAGGGATATGTGGGTGGATAAAGTCCCTCCTCTTCCTCCCCGCTTTTGCTGTGTAGGCAGCTACACACGAGGGACGTGCTCTCTGCGTACACATGTGCACATCACCAGACTCATGAGCAGAACCAGCCCTTCTGGAGAAGGCTGCAATTGATGCCCAATGCTTGTTGTCTTAAAGCAAGCAGCGAACAGACCTGTCACACTTTGGGGGCTAAGCGGGAGGAAATCATTGGAAAGAGAATTTAACACAAGAAAACAAAAGACTCTTGAGAAACTCTACTCACCCACTTATCCTCATCCATTTACAAGCCTAGAGATTTAGAGCTGGGTTCACGGAAGCTTCCTGCTGGTTAACCCCGCAGAAAGAACTAAATAACACTTGACAAGTTCAAGTCTTGTCACAATTTACATATGCTGTATGCTTTTTAGCCCCTCCCCCCTTCTTTTTAATTATAACAGCATGTTAAAGCAATAGAAGAATATAAGAACAATGCAAAAAATCAACCAGAGGAAAAGGACAGAGGTATTTATAACACTAGAAAAAAAAACAAGACTGCAGAATAAACACTTTTATGAAGTACAGAAAAGTACTAAATACAGTACCTACATTAGGAGGGGTCAAATCTGCATTTCATGAAGCAAAATAGGAAAGCAGTATAAATCATGAGTCAGATTACAACAGCCCATCTATGATAAAACTACATCAAAATTAATGTCTTATTTTATACATCAATGTCATTAAAAAGACAGTAAAAACATCGTATTTTATGGAAGAAAGCATAAGTAACAGGAAAAAAACCCACATGAATGTTATTGCCTTTTAGCTGAAAAAATTACTGTGATTATTTGTATCTATATGCCATCACAGGAGTTACTATTAATAGAAGGAGGAATATCCTATACTTGCCCCTAAAGAGGAACAGTGGCATGACTGTGCCCTGAAACCTATACTGTAAATAGCAGTTCAAATTTGTCCAGTACTTACCATTACAAAGCCTAGTGCTTATATAGTTAGGGGCTTAACTTTTCCAACTTGTTTTCCCTGAGACTTTGATCTCATCTACATATTTTAGGAAAGTTTAGAAACCAGTTCAGATGTTTTGTATTGTGCCAAGAAAGTTAGAAACAAGCTTTCAATATTTCAAATAACAGTAAAGATTTTCTGCCAGCTGCAGCTTTATATTCAGAAGAGACAAGCTGGACTGAACACTTTCTACTTCCATACACTTCTTGTATGCATTTACAACAAAGCTGCAGCAAAGGAAGAACAGACCTTCCCTTTGTTCATTCTTCCTGGACATCAAAGACTGCCATGACAAAGGGCATGGCAGCTGGGAAAAGGCAGACTGCCTCCTGTGCTTAACACCTCCACTGCAGCTGGCATGCATGAAACTAGCAGAGAAGGCAGCCTGAGACAAGAGTGGCCTGGCAAATACAAGATTTGTTGAATAGGGATGCAGGGGAACAGTCAAGTTGTGGAAAGAGGAGGAGCAGGAAAGAGGGAATATAGACTCACCTAGATGGTAAGGAAACCTGACAGGAATAGTAGAGGAAGGCAGGAGTAGGCAGTGCAGAGGAATGTGTGAACATTGTTGGCGATTCTCCTGAGTGCAGCAAGCCTCATTCTCACCATTCCTCTGAGATCAGAGAACACTGTGAAATACACTGGCAGGACCTGTTTCATTATCTTAGATTAGCTGGTCCACAAAAAGGGGAACAGTCATATATTACTATCAATAATTTGTGATAACTGTCCCTTTATCTCTAGCATTAGGGATCTAGTTAAAGTTTCAAACTTGATTCCATAGAATCAATACAGCTTGCTGATCCAGAAGCTTCTTTTTTATCAGTTTTCTGCCTTTCAAAGGAGCAAGCTAATAGAATATAAATACAGATACAAACACTGAAAAGTGCTTTTAAAAGCAATTACAATGCATAGTCAAGCACTCTGAATTAGAAAAAGCTAGAATACTTGTATATCAACTAAAATATAAACAGGACAGCAGGAAGAAGCACATGCAACTAGAAAGGAAAATAGAATTTTTTGCTCTTGCAAATGAAGTGATAGAAAATTATTAGCAATAGCCTTTGATCAGATCAACATAAGTGAACAAAGTTCCACATTCCAATATTCACAGTAATGGGCACTTCTATTGTCAGCTGATATTGAAAGCTAATGAGAAAGCTTTATGTACTGCTGTTAACACAGGCACCATCACACAGGGATTCTATATTGCAGTCTAGAAGGAACACTAAAACAGAGATCACTAACATTCTTATCTCCTACATGCTTAGCAAGATGAGTACCTTCTAATAAATTGAGATCATATTCTGAATTGTCAGGCTTGTGCAGGGCTGGATACGTGTTAAAGAGATTTGCAACAAAAGCCATATTGAGTTTAGGGTTGCCTGCAACCACATCAGCTGGAGTAACAAACTGCCTGCAGCCCAGTTTTTCAGCCTGTTGGAGCATATATTCAGCTCTCTTCAAGTCATTTTTTTCCTGAAAAGAAAACAGGCAAAAAAAGTAAGTAAAATCAAAATAAAAATTAACTTGCAATGAACATCAGCACAAACAGAATATTGAATATAACTTGTAACTACAAGTATCACAAAGGTGAGAGACAACTCAGAAGGAAATGAGTTAGTAACTGAATTACTGTTAGAATGAATTAACAGTCAGTAATTCAACATTTGTACACCCTACTTGCTCTAGAAAAACATCTTACATGTTATTGATACTGGTTTATAACCTGTTAGAAAACATGCACACATAAACTGAACATATGAACAAGATGACTTGTATTGAACACTCCCTCCTCCCTCCCTGCAAAAAGCAAAACCAACCAACCAACAAAAAGATCTCTTCACAGGAGAGCAGAGGCTCCCTTCTAAAAGATTTTTTTTTTCATTTAAACGCATTTTTGCATGGTTTTCATAATTGATGAAGTCGAATGAGATGCTACTTTTTAGAATTCTGATTGATACATATATCTTCAGCAGCTGTTTAAATTTTGGAGAGCATTCTCAAAGTAAACTTTTCAAGCAGCATGAGGTAGCAGCTTACAGAAAAGTAACACACCTATCGCCTTACAATTTTTTGCTTGATGGCTGCCATACTTCCCTTCCCTGCTTGTTAATGGAAGGGCTGACATTATCTCCGAATTATATTTGGTTTGAGGAAGGATCACAAGAGCTCTGGAGTCTACTCTTTTCCCTTGTGTAAGTTACAGAACAGCAAAATTGAAGCAGGATACTGCAGGTCACTGTGGAGGACCCAACTAGAAGGGAAGAAGTTGGCATTAAGGTAATTCCAAAATGCACACAACTCCAAATTGTAGCTCCAAAATGCTTATTTGAATCATACAGCTCCAAATTTTAGACTTGAAGATGCACAATCCTATTCTAGTACATCCCTGCATCTTTACTCAGGTTTTTCTTCATTCAAATTTTTGTGTCATTTAAGAATTTCATGTAGCATTTGTACACTCTACAAAACAAAAGGGGATCCTTGAACAGCTCTGTAGCCAGAGTGTTAGGCATATGGATAAAGGTCTCCAATAATTCTCTTTATGCTTCAGCATACTTACATTAAACCCTGAAAAGTCAATTTTTATGGGAACTTCTTTAAAATCATCTCCTTTGGGTGCAATCTGATTTAATAGATGGTAGTATGCTCTTGAATCCTAAAACAAGCAGTAAAAATATTTAAGAAGATGCAAATACTTATTCTTATATAGGCATGTAGTGCTCTAACAGTCTGATGACTGCATACCTTAATATCTTGACTGAAGTTACTGATTTTCTGCCACCCTGCATTGGCTAGATGATAGTTTACCCAGCGTAGCAGGAGTTCTTCTGGAGAAAGCTTCATTAACTGATCTAATTCTTCCCCTTCATTTAGCAAAGCAATGAGAGCTAAAAGCAAGTTTGAAATAAAGCTGAAATCATTGCTATCGTGGTCTCAAAGCATTTAATTACAAATTGGACACATTACATACTCTTACCTTCATTTCTGGAGATCTCAATATCAGCAAAAAGGCCAACTTTAATGATCTGCCATAAGAGTCCTAATACCAAGTGTGGTTTTCCTTCCTGCAAATCTTGTGATCCAATATTGACAACTGTGCAGCCAATAGCAGATGCTGAGTTCAGGGCCAGGTTTAGGTTTTCCTATTTGGGATATCAATGTTTAACAAGTTGAAAAGGTTGTGATTTTTAGTAAATTTGTTCATGTTAAAACTGCAAGTGCAAAGGTTATTAGGCAAGTTTCTGAAGTCATAAGAAATAAGTCAGTGGCTCGTAGTGGACCGCTGCACTTCTTTACTTCCCCCCTCAAGTCAGATGTCTTATCAAAATTCAGCAGAAAATAGTATTGACACTATTAATATGAGCCCACCAAAACACCGCAGACCACTTTCCACAGCCTAGATTCTCGAAGAATAGTCTAACCAAATTAACTTTTTGTAATCCATTAGTATCACATACACAAATTGAACAATATTGCCCAAAATATCAGGGCATCGAACCTGTGGACATACGTGTTTATACAGAATTTTGCTCTTTGCAAGAAGCTACTGACATCCTTGTCATTCCATCTTGGTTCTGTACAGGCTGATTTTTTATTTATTTATTTTAAATCAGCTCTTTAACTGTAATTGAACAGACAGCATAAGAAAATGACATCAGTTCAACATTCTGACGCTGAAACTAAAGCTAGTAATTGTCACAGATGAAACACTTCAAGAAAAAACTCAACAGGTCTCAAACATTGCTATTCGTATTTTCCTGTGTCATATTTTCACTACTTAAAGAATCAGTGTAAGCACATGTACTATCATCTTTGCTGATGCATCTTTTTTAAATAGATGGAGATTACAAAATCCACTTGCAGGATTTAGCGTCATATGTTTTGAATTTTCTTATTTTAATATCATAATCTGCCCTTTCAAGTGCACAAAGCAAAAAAACTGCCTTTTAACAGAGGTTCTTAATTAGCATTTTCTTTTCTCATTAGGCTAACAATTTTGGTTCTACTTCCCTGTTCCAGATAAGTTTTCTTCTGCCCAAGGTATGTCTTAAAAACTTTCTGTTCTCAAACATGTTCATAACTTCAAGCCACTTTCTCTTACTCAACACAACTAAAATAAAACTTCTCTTCTTTGATCCAAGGCACTCTCCGCTACTGAAAAATGCTTCATCCTATCACATAGCATGCAGTCACACAGATACTTTCTATATTGTATTGCCAAGATACAACTGTTGCTCTCCACTCAGAAGTTTAAGATTATTTTATATAGATACTTCTAAAGATTAATAAAGCAAAAAGCAGAAT